CCTCATGAAGTTTATGTAATTGAGAAGACAAGATGGGCATATGTGAAATAATTGTGAATACCAGACAAAAATCTGAAGATGACTAATAAGCAATAGAATGCCATTAAATTCTTAAAAAGTGGCATGAAGAAAATGTTGTAAGAATTGTTTCATAATAGTGCTCACTATATAAAGTAGAAAGACAAAAGGAGCAGCCAGTGAGTAAATATTGAGGTGAGTTGTTAGAAATATAAATAGTAAAAAGAGAAAAACAGAAACAAACTTGATAGACCGTGCAAAGGAATACTCATGCTATGATAGATCCCCATATTTCTCGATTATCTAGTAACTTTCTTATTTACTTAAGTATGTGATCACATTGGTGTGACAAATAGAAATACTAACTTGTAAGTGAACAAATGTTAACGTGTTTAGCATGTTTGATAAGTCATATTAGAGATGTCATCAATTCAGAGTTGAATGAAGAAATTAGCTTGGAATCAATTATGTGACAGATGTTGGGTTAAATACAGCCGTACAGTACCAACTCTATTGTTAAATATTTGTAAAATGAGCCCTAGATTAGGAAAGGGTTTTCAAAAGGACACAGATTTAGTGACAAGAGTTGGGAATAGAATTTAGGTCTTCCAGAGTTTTTTTTTCTTCCAAACACACTTGTGTGTTTGGAAGAAAGCAGGTTTTGCAGTGACATCAAAATGGATATCAGAAGAGACACAAACTTGCTCTCCAGCGTACAGATGATAAAACAAATGGAAGAAATGAGGAGTTCCAAGAGCTGAACAGAAAATTTCAAAGATCAGCTCCAGAAGATAAGGCCAAATATTCACAACAAAATGTGCAAAGATCTGGAATCAGAAAACCAAAAAGGAAGAACACGCTCAGCATTTCTCAAGCTGGGGGAACTGAAGAAAAAATTCAAGCCTCAACTTTCATTATTGAAGGAGTCTCTGGGAAAATTATTGAATGATGCAGAAAGCATTAAGAGAAGACGAAAGGAATACACAGAGTCACTGTAACAAAATGAAATGGTTAATGTAAGGAGGATGTCCAAGGTGCACTGAAGGAATTGGCAAAGAACAAAGCACGAGGAATTGATGGAATCAAAATTGAAATCTTTCAAGAAAGTGAGGCAGCACAGGAGGCACTCACTCATCTCTGCCAAGAAATTTGGAAGACCGCTATCTGGCCAACTGATTAGAAGAGATTCGTATTTGTGCCCATTCCAAAGAGAGGTGACCCAAAGGAATGTGGAAATCATCAATCTCTTTGATATCCCATGAGAGTTCAGTTTTACTAAAGGTAATACAGAAGAAACGGCTGCAGGCATACATTGACAGAAAACTTCCAGAGGTTCAAGCCGGATTCAGAAGAGGCCTTGGAACGAGGGATATCATTGTTGATGTCCCATGGGTCTTGGCTGAGAGCAGAGAATATCAGAAAGATGTTTACCTATGCTTTATTGACAACACAAAGGCTTTCGATTGTGTGGATCCAAAACTTCCAGAGGTTCAAGCCGGATTCAGAAGAGGCCTTGGAACGAGGGATATCATTGTTGATGTCCGATGGATTTTGGTTGAGAACAGAGAATATCAGAAAGATGTTTACCTATGCTTTATTTACTACACAAAGGCTTTCGATTGTGTGGATCATGACAAGCTATGGACAACATTGTGAAGTATGAGTATTCTGGAACACTTACTTGTGCTCATGAGGAATGTGTACCTGGATCAAGTGGCAGTTGTCTGAACAGACCATGGGAACACTGAACAATTTAATATTAAGAAAGGTGTGCAACAAGGTTGTAATTCTTTCACCATACTTATTCAACCTGTATACTGAGCAAACAATTATGAGAAGCTGGGTTATATGAAGAAAAACGTGACATGAGGATTGGAGGAAGACTCACTAACAACCTGCGATATGTTGATGATATAACCTTGCTTGCTGAAAGTGAAGAGGACTTAAAACATTTACTGATGAAGATCAAAGAGCACAACCTTCAGTATGGATTACAGCTCAATGTAAAGAAAACAAAAATCCTCACCACTGGACCAATAAACAACATTCTCATCAACGGAGAAAAGATTGAAGTTGTCAAGGACTTCATTCTTCTTGGGTCAACTATCATCATTCATCAAGAAATCAAATGACGTATTGCATTAGGCAAATCTGCTGCACAAGAACTTTTTAAAGTGTTGAAGAGCAAAGATGTCAGCTTGAAGACTAAGGTGCGCCTGACCCAAGCCATGGTATTTTCAATAACCTCATATGCATGCGAAAGCTGGACAGTGAATAAGGATGACCTTAGAAGAATTGATGCTTTTAAGTTGTGGTGCTGGAGGAAAATATTGAAAGTGCCATGGGCTGCCTGTAGAACCAACAGATCTGTGTTGGAAGAAGTGCAGCCAGAGTGCTCCTTGGAGGCCAAGAAGGCCAAACTTTGTCTCTCATACTTCGGACAAATTGTCAGGGAGGACTAGTCACTGGAGAAGGATATCATGTTTGATAAGGTAGAGGGTCAGAGAAAAAGAGGAAGACCCTCAACCAGATGGATTGTCCAGGTGGCAACATCGATGAACTCAAGCGTGACAACACTAGTGAGGTTGGCCCAGGATTGGGCAATGTTTTGTTCTGCTGTGCATATGGTTGCTACGAGTCGGTACTGACTCTATGGCACCTAACAACAACAAAATATAAGTGTGCCATAACTGTGAAGGGACATTTTAAGCACCTAGTCTGGTGCTTGATACACGGTACTCAAAGGTTTGTTAGAAATCTAAAAACCAGAGATGAAGTTATTTACACATTTTGTTTTGTTTTTCTTCTCCTAACCTTTATGATAATTTATCCTTATCTAAAACAACTTTGGTTGTATAAATTACTGTGTGTGTGTTTAATCGTACCTTAAACCTAATTCCCAAGCAACTACCTTCTTGTTAAATGTCATCGAGTCAGTTCCAACCCATAGCATCCCTGTATATGGTTTCCAAGGAGCGGCTGGTGAGCTTGAACCACCGACCTTGTGGTTCAAACCTACTTTGCAGTCCAGCACATTAACCCACAGTGCCACACCAAGACTCCCATCAGCTAGTTTAGGATTCCTGATTTATCTCTTGTGTCTAACACAAGGTTTTTAAAACAATGGTAAATACTCTCTAAATTGTAAAATGTATTTGTCTCTGAGATAGTTGCATTCTGACTGATCTGAACAGTAATTGTCCAAAATTGTCTCTCTTTAAGCTTCCTCACCTAAAAATCAGATTGGAAGTTGGGGGTCTTTGTGGAGAAAAGGAGATAGGACAGAGAAGGCCAGAGAGTAGATCAAGTCTATTACATTTTAATTTTCCTTTTGCTCAGTCTAATTTTTCTGCCTGATTGATTCAACTTACACTGAGTTCTTAGTACATTTGAATTACTTACTATACACCTGGCCCTGTGACCAACCAGTTTAGTAAAGAATAGGATATTTAAGATGTTCATTTGATTCATCAGAGAAGCTGCCTATTTTGAGTCTAGGAATCCTGGTGTGGCACTGCAAGATAAAGCTCTGGGCTACAAGGTTGGTTTAAATCGCAAGGTCTGCGTTCAAACTCCCCAGCAACTCCGTGGAAACTCTATACAGGGACCCTATGAGTCATAACCAACTGGACAGCACTAACAACAGGAACGCAAAGAATTGCCATGAATGCCTGTTAAATACTAGTTTTTAGTCTAGGCACTGGGGATTCAGCAGTGAAACTAACAGAAAAAAATCCTTGCCTTCTTGGTACTTAATTCAAGGGTGGGGTAGGAGTGAGGGGGCAGAGACAATAAACAAGATTTTTTAAAGTATATAGTAAGTCAGATAATGTATAGTGTTAAAGAGAAAAATATACCCAGAAGTATGTATGTATGTATGTATGTATGTGGGAACGGTTGCAATTTTACTTGGTTAGACTAAAAAAGAAGTCTCAAAGAAATGACATTTGAATAAAATATTGAAGGCAGTGAGAGGAAAAATAGTGTGGGTTCTTATCCACTCCAATTGTCTTCTTGTTATATATGTGGTGTTAAGTGCCGTTGAGTCAGTTCCCACTCATAGCGAGTCTCTATAAGGATTCCAAGAAGCTGCTGGTGGGTTTGAACTGCCAACCTTGTAAGTAGTCCAGCGCTTATCTTACCTCGCCACACAGGACTCCTGTATGTATGTTGTTGTTAAGTGCCGTCGAGTCGATTCTGACCCATAGTGACCCTGTATATAGTTTCCAAGGAGCAGCTGGTTAGCTTGAACCACCGACCTTGCAACTCAAACGATTTTGCAGTCTGGCGCATTAGCCCACAGGGCCACACCAGGACTCCTATATAGGTAGCTTTTGCTTACTTGTAGGCAGTTTGTCCCAATCTGGCCAATCCACAGTTTGGGAAGAAGTAATGAAATAGCAACTGCTCTAGATAATGTGGGAAGTTGATGTAAATGACTGCCATTAATACAACCATAGCAGAACGCAGTCAGCCTTTGCCCTTAGGATAGTTCGTTCAGTGTTGTTAAGTGCCTTTGAGTTGGTTCCGACTCCTGGTGGTTGGTGGTTATTTGCCGTGGAGTGGGTTTGACTTATAGCGACCCTGTACAGGCTTTCCAAGGCTGTAAATCTTTAGGGGAGCAGAAAGCTTCACCTTTCTCCCGCGGAACAGCTGGTGGTTTCAAACTGCTGACCTTGCAATTCGCAGCCCGATTCATAGTAATCACTACGTTACCAGAGCTCCGAATTCTAGTGACCTTATATAGAGGGTTTCCTAGGAGCAGCGAGCTTGACCTTGCAATTCAAACCGACTTTGCAGTCCAGCGAATTAGCCCCACAGCGACACACCAGGATTCCGAGCGAATGAAGGTTCCTGTCCCTTTAAAAATGGCGGCTCCGGACTCGTCAACAATGCTATTGGTTGCACAGGCAGAAGGGGCGGTAGTGAACGGGTGGTAATGAGGTGCCCCGCCCTCTACGGAAACTCAGAGGTAACAAGATGGCCGCCGTTGAAGAAGACTGTGGAGTTGTGGCCGATCAGGAATTGGAAGAGCTTCTGGAAAGTAAGAGCCAGTAAGGAAAAGGCCCGGAGTGGGCTGGTGTGTGGAACTATTCAGGGAGTCAGCCTGAAATATTTGGGGCGGAGTGGGAGTGGTTCACCAAAGGTTGGGCGCAGGAGGACGTCTGATCAGGACTCCGAAGAAAATCTCTGGGTTACTCTCTTTCGCGGTGGGAATTGGGGAGCTCACTTTTGACCCCTGATGACAAAGACCGTTGATCCTCTGTTGTAGGCGAAAATAGTAGCTCACAGAACGGTGTTTCTCGATTCATGTCCAGAGTCTTCTTTCTTTAGATTAAGAAATTCTTGAAATCTAGCTTCCCGCCAGCAGCAGTCTTTCCGTGGTGGGCAACGAACCTGGCATTTAGGAATTGATGACATTAACTCTTCTTAAGTCGGTAGCACGCCTTTTCGTGCCCCTGCCCTATCCTTCCTAGCACAAGTGACGCTTCCTTCCTCCCAGTCCTTTCACCTTTCCCTCACTAGGCCACTTTCCAGTACTTTCATCATGTCAGTGGCTCAAGCTGTCTCTGGAACCATTTTCCTTAGAAACTGAGGGTGAGTCGGCCTCTGGTCAAGCCAGTTCCCCCGCCCGAAAAACGGTGAATAGACTTTTCTTTCTTGGCCCTGTCCTCCACTCCTCTCTCTGTTGGGTTCCTGCCCAGTGTGAGGCCGGTGACCTGCCCCCCACGCTGGCAAGCAGGGATGGTGGTTGGCAAGCAGGATGGTGGCGACACAGGTGAAGAAGATTTTATCTCTTGCCCAGTCAAATTGAAAGGAAAACAGGAGTGCCCGCAACTTTTTGTGAATTGTGGGGATGGGGCCAGGGAACTTTAGGAGCTTAGCTGGAGCAAAGAGTTCAACTGTAGTTGAAGAGAAGGCTTAATGCCCTCCCGTGGAGAGTGGTGTGTTGTTTTTAGGTGCCATCCGACTCATAGTGACCCTCCTCTGCATGCCAGAACAAACATTGCCCAATCCTGTCCCATCCTTACAGTTGTTAGGTTTGAGCCCATTGCTGCTGCCACTGTGTCAGTCCATCTTGTTATCTTGTTGGAGGGTAGGAGTGTGGTCTTCTTCTTTGTCACTTACCCTCTACTTTACCAAGCTTGATGGTCTCCAGGGATTGGTCCCTCTTGACAACATAATGCAAAAAGTATGGGCCCTTCAATTTGCACTAGGACCAAGATCAATGAAAGCTGGGTGTAATATATTGTGGATTCTACTTTCTTGCCAAAGATTATTCCCTTTAGGGCTCCAGAATGAATTCTATGAAGGGACTTCTACGTTCTCTGTACCTGTTGGGTATTTTTATGAGATTTAAAGGCAATCATTTATGGGTGGTGAGGAAGGCACAGTGTAAATGGGCACATACTTTGCCCTTTGCAGAGCTGCTTTTAGCCTGTTGCTCCCAGGCGTGAGGCAGAGTTGCTTGTTCCACCTAAGAGTTTTCTTCCCCTTTGATCACAATAGATTAGGTGGTGGGAGAGAAATGGGAGACTTACTGACGGATGGGTTGAGAGGGGGAGAATCAAAACAGGAGAAAAATTGAGGAAAGTGGACAATTTGAAAAATCGTTCTTCTAATGTTTTGCCCAGAAACTACCCAGCCTTTCATTTTCACCCATCCCCATCACACACACCATGTCTCTTGTCTCTGAAGGTGCTCTTGATGACTTCGATAAGGCCAAACCCTCCCCAGCACCCCCTCCTACTGCCACAGCTCCTGATGCTTCGGGGCCCCAGAAGAAATCACCAGGAGACACTGCCAAAGTATAAATTCCAGTCAATTAAGGGAGGGAGAAGGGATGGGGATGCAGCTCTAAACTGAGGTGGGGCAGGCCCCTATGGGCCAGAGGGGAGTGGGGAAGGCGCCCCTTGGCCTCACGTTCCTGAGTGCATCTGCAGGTCTCTCTCCTTGTAAAACAGGGACTTGAAGTTGAGTGGAAGGATCTTTAAAAAGTTCCTTGAGAAAAGAGCAGTTATAAATGGCTAAATTGGTTACCCTTCCCTCCGTGGCCAAATGTCTTCCTTGCTGTCCTCACTGAGAGAGGTAGTTAGAGCTTGCAATGGAAGTGGGTAAGAGAGAAGCACTGCATTTCCCAGAGCCAGTGCCTGCATCTTCTACCTCAGGCCAGGTGCAGTGAGGTACCAAGTAAGAGACACAGTTCAGCTAACCTCCTCTGCAGGATGCTCTCTTCGCTTCCCAAGAGAAGTTCTTCCAGGAACTGTTTGACAGTGAGTTGGCGTCCCAAGCCACTGCAGAATTTGAGAAGGCAATGAAGGAGTTGGCAGAGGAAGAGCCCCACCTGGTGGAGCAGTTCCAAAAGCTCTCAGAAGCTGCTGGGAGAGTAGGTAAGGAGGAGACCCCAGGCAGCTAAAAATATGTTGCATTGTTGACTGAAAACACTAGGATTCTTAGTAAGGTTGACAGCAATCCCAGTGTCACTGTTGTGGGGTGGGTAAGGAGAGGTATTAGAAGGGGTGGGGATCCTGTTAAATGAAAGGGGTGAGATGAGTTGGAAAGTAATAGAAAAGATTATTCAAAACTAACCATTTTAAAGTTTGCACTGTTATTATGGGTGTCATCCTGTTGAATTAACTGCCATACAGTCCATACTGATTTTTGAAAATAAGCATAAATTTTAAAGATTTGGAGTGATAGTGATTCATACACTCCATATCCAAGCTGATAAGTATGTTAGGCTAGCCAAGCAGACACTTCAAATCCCAAACGATATTGACTCTGATCTCTCCTAGGCAGTGATGCAACTTCCCAGCAAGAATTCACTTCTTGCCTAAAGGAGACACTAAGCGGACTAGCCAAAAATGCCAATGACCTTCAGGTAAGGAGGTAGAGGTGGGCGACCACATGGGGCCCATTCCTGAATACCTTCACTCACAGGGCCTCAAAAGACAGAAATTCTTGGGTTTTATCTGTCCTTGTCTCACTGTTTTGAAACAGGCAAATTTAAATAATTCTCTGACTTTCTAACTTTCCCGATGATAAGCCATACCGAGAAGCCAATATTATATTGTTCACCTTTCTTGTCTTTTTTAGAACTCAGGTATGTCAGAAGAGGAGCTGAACAAGGCCATGGAGGGGCTAGGAATGGATGAAGGGGAAGGAGAAGGGAACATCCTCCCCATCATGCAGAGTATCATGCAGAACCTATTGTCTAAGGATGTGTTGTACCCATCACTGAAGGAGATCACAGAAAAGGTGTGTGAGCCACTGTTTCTGCTTTTCTTCTTTGCTCTGCATTGTATCAACTCATATGGGCTACTTTGTATACTCAGGGTCTAGATATAGAGTAACTTGAATGCACAAGTCCCTCTGGTTTTGTTTTTTTTTTTAACCTACTTTGTTTATTTGGAATGTGTAGAATTAGGGAAGTTATTTTTCTAAGAGATTCAAGTTACCAAGATGAGGATCTTGGGAGTAAGAGGAGAAATCACTCAGCTCTAATTTTCTGTAGATGGTTTTAAGACTGTGGGTAATTGATCAACTCTTTCTTCAATTTTTGTCTTCATTTAGGAGGGGACTTCAGAATGTTTGTGGAAAAATTCCATTACCTTTTCATTTCATTTTTCCATGAACTTTTCGAAGCCCCCTTACATTTCTTCACCGGTGATTCACTGAGGATAAACTGCATAGGTTCTCAGCACTGACTTTTTGTCATGAGCAGTTTACAGGTAGTTTAAGTGAATGAAGGTCCCTATACTCAAAAAGCGTAGTTTTACTAGAGATAAACTATAATAATATAGCATAGACATGTTTTAATGACACAAGGCAATATGTAATTAATTACAAAATGAGTAATATAGACCAGAAATTGGCAAACCAAACTGAAAAAAGGGTTTTTTTAAGGGTTATAAAACCTGTACATAGACCAAGAGGCAGTCATATGAACAGAATAAGGGGACACTGAATGGGTTAAAACCAGGAAAGGTGTGTGCCCGTGTTGTATTCTTTTACCATATTTATTCAATCTCTGCTGAGCAATAATCCGAGAAGCTGGATTATATGAAGAAGAATGTGGCATCAGGATTGGAGGAAGACTCTTTAACAACCTGTGATAAGCAGATGATACAACCTTGCTTATTGGAAACGAACATCAAAATACTACTGATGAACATCAAAGACTATAGCCTTCACTATGGGTTGCACCTCAATGTTAAAAAAAAAAAAACAGGACAAAAATCCTCACCAATAAATATCATGATAAATGAAGAACAGATTTAAGTTGTCGAAGACTTCATTTCACTCGGATCCACCATCAACACTCATGGAAGCAGCAGTCAAGCCATCCAACAACATATTAGACAAATCTGCTGCACGAGACCTCTTTCAAGTGTTGAAGAGCAGAGATGTCAATGTGAGGACTAAAGTGAGCCCGACCCAAGCCATGGCTTTTTCAGTAGCTTCATATGCATGTAAAATTTGGACAATGAATAAGGAAGAGCATAGAAGAATTGATACTTCTGAAGACATCATGTTTGGTAAAGTGGAGGGTCAGCGAAAAAGTGGAAGACCCCCCCAATGACATGGACAGGCACAGTGGCAGTGGCAGCAGACTCAAGATTAAAAATGATTGTGAAGATGGCACAGGACCAGGCAGTGTTTTGTTCTATTGTGCATAATGTTTCTAGGAGTTGGAACTGACTCGACGGCACCTAACAACAATGATAAGGGTTGTAGAAAAACAAAACAAAAAAGAATATGTGACAGAGACCATATGTGGCCCACAAAGCCGTCACATAAAAAATTTACCAAAATCTAGTCTAGACCATAAATACTTGCACTGGCCTAACCAGTTGCTCTCTCTCTTGTGGAACTTGATTATTTAGCTCATTCTTCTATGTCCCTGTCCCTTTCATATAGTTGTCATTGCCCTTCACTACTCATTGTTCACCTAAATCTTAACTACTCATTCTCCCTTTTCTCAGTATCCAGAATGGCTACAGAGTCACCGGGAATCTCTACCTCCAGAGCAGTTTGAAAAATATCAGGAGCAACACATTGTCATGGGCAAGATATGTGAGCAGTTTGAGGCAGAGACCCCAACAGACAGTGAGACCACTCAAAAGGCTCGTTTTGAGATGGTGCTGGATCTTATGCAGCAGGTAAAGCCCTCTTTTTCTATCTGCCTTTTGCTTGGGTGTTCAGTGAATTTGGTGTCTGGGAAGGATTCCACACTGCCAAAGCTGGGTGGAAGAAAGAGCACAAGAGAGGCAACAGCATGGTCCCCAGAAGACTCAGTGATCATAGTTCAGGTTCCTTTTCTAGGCTGCTATCTTGTTTTCTGGGCTTTTTCCTATCTCATGTGCCTCTCTCCTTATTTTCTAGTTACAGGACTTGGGTCACCCCCCAAAAGAGCTGGCTGGAGAGATGGTAAGTTTGCTTTCGCCTCCTAGATTTTAATCAGATTCCCAGTTTCCAGAATCTTGTAACTTTTAATGATTTCATCTAAAGTGATAACTCTGACTACTGGGGCTGGACCTTCAGAAAGTCTGAACTAAAGTGAACTGTGATCAGTTTTCTGAGTCCCTTCATCTCTTCTCCAGCCTCCTGGCCTCAACTTTGACCTGGATGCCCTCAATCTGTCAGGCCCACCAGGTGCCACTGGTGAACAGTGTCTGATCATGTGAACCACCACATGTTTTCCTCCCTGCTTCCCAGCCATGGGAAACATCTGGATTCAGCAGAACCATTGGGAGCCGAGGCAGGAGTGTCATCTGCAGGAGCGATCTACCCACAGCTCTCTGCCATCCTACCCAAGACTGTGCCATACCAGCTGAGGCTTTACCTCTGTTTTTCTAGGAATAAGGCCATTTCTGTTAGTCCTGACTGATTGTTGTTTCAGCTGCTAGCAAAGGCCCAGCTACCTGCCAGGTGAAGAAAGGCATTCTTTTTGAGACATGCACCTTCTTTCTCTCAAAATAATGTTAAATATGGCCACTCTGATGCTCGCCTTTACACCCAGGGTCTTTGTGCCTTGTCTCTATTCCCTGTTGTGGACATGGAGAGCAGGGACAGAGTCCTGGAACACTATATTTCTACAGTTCTGCTAGCAAGGGACTTTGGGAATGGGGAGGAACTTAGTGTAGGCTGAAGCTGTAGTTCCGTCATCCTCTCCTCTCACCTTCAGACTGCTCTGAATTTTAAGGTGAGAAAGGTTCTAATTTAATGTATCTAATCACATTGGGAGAGAAGCCCGGGATTCTCCTCTCTGGGTGCTGAGCTCCCAACGTACTGTTTTAGCCTGCAAACTCAAATTGCTGCATTGGTTCTTTCTGTAGTGCCATGGGAGCTAGGTGAACTCAGCCCCTCAATTTCCTTTGTCCACTGCCTTTCCTCTTAATCCCTCTTTTTAAAATACTTATTTATTCCCGAGCCTAAGCTGTGACAAAAAACCCATCCAGTTTCCCCTCATCTAGTCCATTCACCACTGACATTGTTCCCTTCTCCCAAGCAAACAGACAGTTACAGTGTCAGGTCTGGAAAATGAGTGACCTTTCCCAGATATATTCTGGTTTATTGGAGACTTCCAATTCCCTTAGAGTTCAGTCCCCTGATACAGAGAGGGGAGGGGTACAGCCTGGGCCTCTGTTCTGAAGATCTATGGGGAAGTGTCTAATAAATATTCTGAGTGAAGAATGTGGCCTATTCTTCATCCACTCTTTTTCTGACCTCCTCAGCTTCTGTAAGCTGCAGATTGAATAATGCTAGCAGACCAGTTTTTCATAACACTGCAGGGGTGGGCTCCCGGTGGCTTATAGTGGGAACCCCCTTCTTCCTGTCCCCAGCCCTGTCCATACTTCATTTGGCAAAGGGGACTTGAAGTCCATCTTTTCTTGTGTCCTCTCTAAATTATTTCAATCTGGGAATACTGTCAAATGTCATTTTAGCATATTACTAATATTAGTGATATATTGTTAATATGTTTTCTAAGTTCCTATTGAACTGACCTTGCCCTTCTTTTGGGAGCTGGTGGGTCCGTGGCCCTTGGCTATCAGATTATTAATGGATAATCTAGTTAGACCAGCTGGTTCTCCTGGTTTGGGACTCAGAAAATAACTGTTACCTGAACAAATTCACATCATCTGAGTCACTTTGAGCTCCTGACATGTCACTTTCAAGACTTCATAAGTTGGCAATCCTACATATACTGTGGGATTGGTGCTTCAGGTGATTCAGGGATGTCCAACTACTGTAACTTAACAGAGCATGGAAGAACACAGGTCTGAAGTGGAGACTCCTCTACTAGATGGGGAAAGTATAGGCAGACTTGTGATAATGGTCATGAGGCCCAAATGGCCAAAATTTTCTGCTTAATAACTCCATCCATACACTGAACAAAGAGAAGGAGGGAAGACCAAAAGGCCCTGGCCCGTGAACCTTTTGCCTGCTGCTGCCAGTTTGTTGATTTGTTTGTTTTAACAAATTCTCACTTACGCTGCCTTGGCCATGGCTCATTCCAGGATAAGTGCTCTGGGCCACTTTAGCTTTATTTCCAGGCCACTTATTTTTACATTTATTTTCTAAAACTTTGTACTGTGATTTGGGTGACGGTTTATAGAGCAAATTAGTTTTCCCTTCAATTCATACACATTTATTTCATGAGATTGATTTTATTTTTATTCAACATGGACAAATTGACCTTCAGGTTGCATTCTGTTCCAAAAACGCTAAGCTTATGGAAGAATAAAGTTTGGCATTCCAAGACAGTCCTCAAACTTTCTGTGGTTAAAGACTAGGGTTGTTTTTTGTTGTTTTTTTTTTATTGTTTTTATGTATCTGATCCTTTGTGAACCAATATGTATATTCCTGTTGCCCACGTTAAGTACTCAGTGCACACTATATGCTACCCACCACACAAATTTGACCCATTTCAGCAGAATCATGCACTTATATATCAAAGCAATGTGAAAAGAATCCTAAAAAGTTTCTAAACATTCAATTTCTTGACATGTCACAGACTAGTAACAAAACTGTTCAGACTACTCCAAATCTGCAAACTGCCTTCTAGGGCCCTCCTCAGTTTCCGTAACTCCTAGCTAAAAAGATGTTTTTCCTTACATTGTAGTTCTCGCCTATGAGGGTTGCCACTAGAGAATTTTTTTCTTTAGCAAGAATGTGTCACTAAGGACATCTCTAGCCTTTTTCTAGCCTTTCTGCTCCATAAAAGTAGCCATTACAAAGTGTGAGTTTATATGTGAAATATCTCATGAGTTTAAAAATGAATTCATACTGAATTTGTGATATATGAGGAGATTTCAAAAGTTTGTGGACAAATGTCAGGTTCTTTTCATTCCATTTTTTTCATGAACTTTTTGAAGCCCTCTTATAGGAACAATTTCCTATGACTTGGAATTTCACATCCTGGCAAGGGCTCCAGGGGACAGTTCTAGTAAACTGTTGTGATTGGCTTTTGGAAGCTTAAAGGAAATAATGGCCCACATTACATGAAGTAAGGGTGGCAGACGATAGTGGAACTGATCAAAGGAGTTAGAGAAAGTGAGCATGAGAGAACATTTATTCTATAATACTGGAAAGTCTATCAACTGGCTACATTCCTTGGAAAGACCCAGAGAAAACTTTTGTGAAGGCAATAAGAAATGTGCTGATGAGAATCACCATCTTTTGACATATTTAAAAGTAATTGCCCTCTGTAGTTTGTGGCTGATGGAAGGAGATAGTAACTGGTTTCTACAGTTGTCAGAAATGATAGGATCCTGGCATAGCAGAGGACAGGTAACACTAACTGGGAAACATGGTAACTTTCCATAATGATTAGCAAGATCAAAGTGAAAATGACTAATAAAACATAGGTGGTACTAAGGGCAAGACAGGTGGGCAGCCAGTGAGGGTTTGACTAAGGGAGATCCGGAATAGTTGAACAGAAGGCTGGGGTCAATTGTCCACAGTTCTTAGGCCCATAATCTATGAATTAAAAGGAGTCACAAGGAAGACCCTGCGACACTATGGCAAGTGTGTATAGTTGTGCACTAAGTAAAGGGCAAACGGGACGTCCCACCATATGTGAATCCAATCCCCAAAGTATGTAAATGGACCCAGTTCTCAGCTTTACATCCTCCTCACCAGCAGCCCAGGTTGCACTCCCTCTTCAACCCTGGAGCTGGGTCAGTACTCACAGATTAAAAGAACAACTTTCAGATTGCTAAATAGGCAAACGCCAGCCCCTGCTGACTCTGCTCCTGTGGGTTCATTAACTTGCTAGAATGACTTAGAAACTCACAGAGAATATACCGTACTTAGAACTACAGCTTTATTACAACTCAAAAGGATACAAATGAAGAGACAGGGTAAGGCCAGGGAGGGATAGCAGCATGAAGTAGCAGTGTTTCCAAGAGGGATGTACTATTACCTCTCGTGGATGTCTTTGGCCAACTAGGCAGCTCTTCTAAGCTTTAGGGTTCCAGCCTTTCATAATTAGCCTTAACGCATGGCCTTGATAGATTACATCATGCCACCTGAGTCTAGTAAACATTGGGTCATCCCTAGATGACTGGTAAGCCTCCACTCAGTAGCTATGAACAAGTGTAGTCCAACAAAAACAGTGATGATTTCGTTTTTCCCCAGAGTGATGTATATCCTTGCTTACTGAGCTATATTCACTGGCAAAGGAGTACCCACATTTCTTGAGGAACGTTGCATACAGGATCTGAGCAAGAATACCCAAAACACCATCAGATTCCTCCCGCTCCACACCCTATTCTTGTTACAATAGAGGATTATGGGGCCAGGTGCTGACTCTTAAGTCTTATCTCGTAATGCACACAAATACCCATACCCACTTTATAAATAAGGAGCTCTGGTAGTGTAGTGGTTATGAGTCAGGCTGCTAACCTCAAGGTCAGCGGAAACTACCAGCCATTCCATGGGAGAAAGATGATGCTTTCAGCTCTCGTAAAGATTTATAGCCTCTGACCCTATACACTGAGTTGGAACCGGCAACACGACGCAAAACCACCACCACTTTATAATGGTCATTTTCCAGGTTTCCAAATGTATAATCAGAATGAAAATATTTGACAGCCAAGTAGAAACCTCTGGAACTGCATTGCTACTTTTGCCAAATATCTCTGGGATATTTGACAGAGATGAGTGCCATCCTCAAAGCCTTAAAAGGATGCAAGGGTGTTAGTACCCATCATACCCTCATTTAGTTCACCTGAGCCTTGCCAAAACGGAACGGCTTACAACAGAACAGTGGACTTCTACAAACAAGCTAATTTTCCCAGTTGCAGTGCTGGGCTGAATGTAGTTCCTTACTGGTGTATGTGGCTGTTATTTGTCCGTAGATGTTTTTGTGCTACAGTGGCATAGTTTAGTTGTGATACAGCTGTGTTAAGTGCCATCAAGTGAGTTCCAGCACGTAGCAACCCCGTATAGGGTTTCTGAGGCTGTAAGTCTGCCAGAGCAGAAAGCCTCTTCTTTCTCCTGCATAACTGCCAACCTTGTGGTTTGTAGTCCAGTGCTTATCCTACAGAGGCACCACTCATGGCCCACAAAACCAGAAATAGCTATCATTTGGCCCTATACAGAAAGTTTGTTAGCCCCTGGTTGAGCAAATGCATTCTTTCAATATCTATAAGGAAGGTGCACAAGGGTGCTTCAAAAAATTTGTGGATAAATGGAATAAGATAATGGAATTTTTCCATGAACTTTTTGAAGCTCCCACAATTGTTTGCCATGTTGCTCTACAGCCATGTTATTCTCTTTGCCCCAGTGGTTTCCAGAGAGACCTGGACACTCTGCCGAACATTACATTTGTTTATTTAATCATCAGGCTATATAAATCAACCTGATGTTTAAGAATGGTCAAGTACTCTGGATTCCTTGGTGAGTCCATTGGCTCCAGAGAGCAACAGGTAAATTTTAC